GTTGTCCTGGGGTGCTGCAGTGGCTTTCAATAGGGGAGCTGCCGAGGTCTTAAAGCCCGTGGCCCTTCCTTCCTTCCTTCCTTCCTTCCTTCCTTCCTTCCTTCCTTCCCCACACGGGCTCCATGGTTTGTCCACCTGCAAGCCTGGGGAGGGGGGAGGCTGCAGGAAAAAGAGAGAAGGCTCCGAGAAAGCCCGGTTTGCAGGGCTGAGATGCTGCCGCTCGCTCGCCGTTCTCCACGAACGATTTGCAGAGATTCACGCTGGCCCATTTTCCTGTTCTTGAAGATACAGAGGGAGAGAAGGGCGGGGGGTGTGGGGAAGAAGTCCTGGCAACATGAAAGCTTTCCCACTCACGAGAAGAGCAAAGTAAAGAAGAAGATGATGTTTTGAAAAAGCGAGTGATTTCTCTCCCCCCCCATCCCCTGCAGCAGGAAGGAACTGCCAAGGTTTGCTGTTTTAATGCTTCCTTTACCTCGCTTGGAAGGATCCACCGATCACTGGATACAGATTTTTTTTAAAATTGTTCTTATTTCTGGCTTGAGAGTGAGCGAGGCAACATGCATCGCCTATGAGGAATGGAAATCCTGGCCTGTATGAAAGACTCCAGAAGTTTGCATTATCCTGGGTTTGGTTACAAGAGATAATTGCTCTCTCACCCTCCATTTTGGCACATTTTCATCCAAAATTTGCCCAACTGTTATCGGGCGAATCCTTTGTCTTTGGTATCCTTTGGATTTTGTGCAAATTTGCTTTTTTTTTTAAAAGGAAAATATTATTTTTTTCACATGAAAACCACAGGATTTTGAGGGTTAGAGTATGGCTGACTGGAGAAAAAAAGAAAGTGTTGGTATCTTTTTTTGTCTGTCTGTTTTGTTCTTGTGTAGAAACGAACCCAACAAACACACTTCCGTAAGTTTTTGTTTTTATTTTTGGCAATGGGCACCCCCAGATATTATGGATACATCCTTTTCCTGTCCAGAGTGAGAAAATTTGTGGATGATCACTACATCCTGATCATGAAATTATAGAGAAGTGGACGTTGGAAGGGGCCCGCAAGGCCATCCAGTCCATCCCTCTGTTTGAGGCAGGAATACAAATCAAAGCCTATCTGCCATGTGAAGATCAGAGTTCCTCTCGAATGCCTCCAGTGTCTTCCCTGCCCCGTTCCACCAGCCCGGCTTGTTGCCTTAAGGAAGGACTCTGCGTCCCATAATCCCCAAGCACCACCAGGCAGGAAAATTCATGCTGTCTCACAATGTGTGCGTTCTGTTGGGCTTTTTGGCACAGCTTGCTGACATGATAGCCTGCTGGTTCTCTCTCTCTCTCTCTGTCCTGGAGTGGGTGTCAATCAGAGCGGCTTCCAGCTGGGACGGACCGGATCCGTCCGCCCTGGTCTTCGTCCTTCGAACCGACTGCCCGGAGACCCGGCTGGGCTAGACATCAGCCGGAATTGGACACCAGCTCTCTCTCTCTCTCTCTGTGTGTGTGTCATGCTTGGCCCGGCCGTTACCGGCTGCCAGGATGGGGGTTCCGGTTGGGCTCCTCGGCACTGCCCGGTGCCCGAGGGAAGGCCTGCGGAGGGAGCGAGAGGCTGAGGGACCCTCCCCTCCCCTTGCGGGGCTTTGCAAAGGGGCGCTAACGAGAGCCTCCCCCCTCCCGTCCATCTGGATTTCATGAGGTGTGAGGTGTCCGTGTCGTGTTGTTAATGACCAAGAGGAAAAATGTGCGACCTTTTCTTCCTACGAAGGAGGTCGCGAGGGGTTGTCCTCACCAGAAAAGGTGTCTTGACTTGGAGGCATCCTGTGTTTTAAAAAGGAGGACGAGGGAGCACCGTGAGGTTTTCTGCTTGTCGGTGAGAGGAAACATATCCCCAATAATGGCAAAATTCACATTCCCCCCCCCCAAAAGCACCCTCAAACCTGTGGCGTTTTTTGCCCCAAAGGCTTGTGTTTTGAGCAAAATGGCATGTGCTCTGTACAAAATCCAGTTTGCTCTCAAAGCGGTTTTGTAGATTCATTATTATTATTTTTTTTAAAGGGAGGTCAAAATCAGAAGAATGCACTAAAAATTTCCGTCTTGCCCAGTGGGGAGAAAACTGGTGGAATGGTTTTGTCCTTGAATGGCTGAATGAATAACCAAAGGGATGCTTGGAGGCGGCTGTGCCCATCAGGAAGGGAAGACCGAGGGAAGAGGCTGGGGTCGGGGTGGGAGGGAGACGGACCAGCGTACCCCAGGGGGGGGGGGGGGGTTGCAAAGGGAGGGAGGGGGAGTCAGGAGGGCACAAGAGAAGGACCTTGGCGAGAAGCGACCGACCGGGGCAGGCCAGAGCTCTCCTCCGGGCAGGCTCGACCCCCACGTGATGAGCACCACCGAGTGCCTGACTCAAGAGGAGGCGGAAAGGCCAGAGGAAGTCCAGCACATGGAGAAACTGACTGGCCAGGAGGGAGGGAGACCCTGTGCCATGCAGGGTTGCAGCTGTGGCGCAGGGTTGGGTGGCGTCTGCCCGTTGACCCAACACGTTCTCCCTCCCCTGCACTTGCCTACATCCGAGCCGGGTTGTTCAGCCCCCCCCCCTCGGGCTCCTTTATTTGCCTGGCTTCAAAGTCCTTTAGAATTTAGCCTTCTGGGGAGGCAGCCGGGGG